ACATAGAGCCATTGATGACCACTCTCTGTGGCCTTTCAACCAATTTCTTATCCATCGAGTAGTCCACCCATTAAATCCATATCCCTCTGATTTGGAGATAGGGATGTGGTGGGGGACCATGTCAAAGGCCTTGCTCAAGTCCAGGTAAATGACATCGGTTGCCTTTCCCTTGTCCACCGATGCCGTCACTCCATCATAGAAGGCCACCAGATTGGTCAAGCATGACCTTACCCTGGTGAAGCCGTGCTGGCTGTCACGGATCACACACCCATTCCTCATGTGATCAAGCATGTCATCCAGGATGATCTGTTCCATGATCTTCCCAGGCACAGAGGTGAGACTCACCAGCCTGTAGTTTCCGGGGTCCTCCTTGCTCCCTTTCTTGTAAATGGGAGTGACGTGCCCTTTCCTCCAGTCATCCGGGACCTCACCTGACAGCCATGACTTTTCACATATGATGGAGAGCGGCTCGGCAACCACCTCAGCCAGCTCCTTCAGAACCCTGGATGCACACCATTCAGCCCCATAGACTTGTACACATTCAGTCTCATGAGGTGGTCTTGGACCTGCTCTGTCCTCCCAGCAGGGGTGGATTTACCACCCCGGTCCCCACCTCGAGGTTTAGGAATGCAGGGCTCAGGGACGTGAGAAGTACTGGAATCCTGGCCCCCAGTGAAGACCGAGGCAAAGAACTCATTCAGTACCTCAGCTACAAGTCTTTTAAAAACAAGATATAAAAACTATTACTCACGATAACTTAGTGAAACTTACCATATGTTCAAAACACTGATATAAGTCACATTAATAAAATCTACCCAATTTTGCAATCAACTAGAATCCAACATTTAATTTTTAGAAACCATTAAATATTTCATTTACCAATGGAACAACTAGAAAATTCTGTGAAAAAAAAAGCTGAAAGAAGAGCCTTGAACTATTTGCTGAACAGCGAGATAGAGAGAGATCATGAAAAGTGTGCTGCAATGCTATATCAAAGCATTTGAGGAAATTCGTTCCAAGTTCAAAGCAAGGGACAGTTAGATGTGAAAGTTCAAAGCCTCTGTCATCAGTGAAAAGGAAGCTAAAAATTCTAAAGAGGTGCTGATCACAACCCTGGATGGCCTTCCTGTACGGCATCAGTAGCACTAAAGGTACAAACTAGAAAATCATAAAAATTACACATTTTCCTAAAAAATCAGTTTGGAAACAACAAAACATAATTATTAAACTGAAAAAAAAAAAAAAAGAAAGAAACTGATGAGTGAAAAACATGAAAGCTGGAAAAGCTGCTAACTGTGGTTCAAAATTCACCTACTATTTTATATACATACAAAAAGAATTCACATGGATTTTTAAAATTAATTTCAAGTTAATCTAAATATGTGTTTTTCAATATTTCTTTTCCTTACATCTCCTGAAGTTAGAAAGTTCAAACCACCACTTCACCAACAATAGGGAAAGGTTCATTCCAGGACTCACTAGGTTGGTTATCTGCATGCTGTGTAAAATGCAATACAACATAGAGTTGACTTATCACTTACCTAATACAAATGCCACAGGCAAGCTAAACTCTTTGAAATAACCTTCCTACCTTACAACACTTGTTCATGAACTGCAAATGCAGATTTCACTTATCTTAATCTAAAATAGGAGTTCCTGGAGAGCAAGATAAGTATCTGGATTATTTAAAAAAGACAATTTTTAACAAAAATGTCTTTAAAAATTAAAATGCTAGATTAAAAATTAGGCATTTGATTAAGATGATCTGATATTTGTGAAACCTCACCACCATAGGCACAAACAAACATTTAGGAGAATTTAGCTACTCTCTTCTTAGTGTATTATCAAGGAAATTCACAGAAATGAAACCACCCCTAAACTAATGCTGCCCACTGCCTTTCCCAGATCAGTGCATTTGGTTTCTTGCAAGGACACCAGCAGTATATTTAGCACCAGGGTGGCAATACGGGAGGTTGGGCTGAAAGAGTCACATTACATATTGCAGGTCTCGTATTCCCACTCTTGTGCTGCTTCTGGATTTATGACCTGCTCATTTTGTGGTTTCTTTTGAAGCAATTTGACAGACAACTGCTTCTCTGCCTAAAACTCTGTAACAGCTTTAAAGGACACATTAGATGTGCAGGCAAGGAAGGAGTGAAAGATTTCCACACAAAGTGATGCTACTTTTCCAAAAGAAAGTGGTAGAAGTTTTTGGGGTTTTGTTTTGTTTTCTCTTTTTAAGTCAAAACAGGCAGATGAAGCAGCAAATGAAAGGAGAATTAACTGCATGTACAATAAGTGCAGTCATCAATGCTGCATATATTTAACCCAATTGTAACCTTGTTCTGTAGGAGAACAGGTGAAGACTTAAAAACAGTTATAGAGATACTGCTGAAATACTAAAAGCTGGGATATTCCTGCTGACCGCAGAGAGTAAATTATAATTAAGTACACATATTTCTTGAAAGCTTGCCAAGGAAATTTAGGGAGAGGTAGTCATCATTGTTGCTTTGACTATGCTAGGGAAAAATTGAGATCTAGTTGCTGTAACTCTCACCAGCAGAGCAGTTGCTCTCAGAGCACAAAGCTGATGGGACAAATCAGGAAACCAGCTCAGAGAAGGAGTCCAAAGCACAAAACTAGAAATGCTTCAGCACTGTTGGCTTTATCAGTTCAGCAGTGGGGCAACTACACCACTGCTGGCTGTTGGTGTAGCACAGTGGTTTGTTGTTTGGGAGTTGTTTGTTTCTATTACACCAAAACAGCTTCCCATACCACAGACAGAAAAGCTGGTGACAAACAGTTGAGATGTAGATTTACAGGAGGACAAAGCAAGGATATTGCACAAGAAATAAAGGTACTGAAGAAGAACCAAAAAAGAGTGAAGTATAGCAGTAGTAACAAAACTAAATCAAGAATATTTGTAGAGAGCTGAATTTCTTCATCAGGAAAAGGAGAAGGAAATGAGGTAACGCTGGCTTCAGTATAGCCCGTAACAAGAAAAAGATTAAGGAGATTGCAATCTACCACACTCCATGTTGGAGATCTGATGTATTACAGGATATAAACTGAGGGGAAGGATAAACGGTAAAAGCTAACAGGAACAGCAACAGGAACAGACAACAACCTACATTAATTTACTAGTTCTTTGACTCCTGATCCCAACAAGAAACAGACTATTCTGACTTCTTAGCTAGGTCAAAATGTCTTCATAAATTCTCTACTAGCCTTTTCAGTTAACCAGGTACTAATCCTCTCATACTTGATATCAGAACAGGTGTGACTGCCATCTGCAGCCTCAGCGTGGTCACAGTGTTGATGTACTCCTGCCACTGTAACTGTAAACAAGTGGGATTTTGCAGCACCAACTTCTATAGTAACTTCTATTGTTAAGAAACTTATCTCAGCAAATGCTTTACTGCTTATCATGTTTTGTTCAGGATCCATTAGCTCCAGTTCTTGTTTCTACCAAATGGTTTGCCACAAGATCTCACTTCTGTAATTCTCATTTTCATTTAAACATGCAAAGTTATAGTTTACTACACACCGTATGTTCAACTCCTCTCCACACATTACTTAAGAATAGCTCTCTGTCTAGGGCTGGATCAGAGACTTTACATTCTTCTCTCTCTGCAAGATAAGTGTCTTCTGGTGTGAGAAAATCCTGGGAGTTCCATCTTGTACAGTTTCCTGAAATCCTCAGTAAGCAAAGAGCATTCATACCACTCCCATCATGTCTTAGCCTCTCACAG